ATACACCCGTAAAGCGTAAAACTTCTTTATTCTACTAAACGCGCTTACATGTTTCGGCTTTGAGCCTTCTTCAGAGACAACACAAACTAACATATATAAACTGTGAATGAAAGTTATCTTGTCATGGTGAACTCCCCTACATCGAGAATATAAATGCCAGAAATTAAACCCAAATAAGAATGAAAGAAAAAGAATATAGAAAGAATATAGAAAGAATATAAAAGAATATAATAAGAATATAGAAAAGACGCGACGTCTTCTGCGCCTGACTTCTATTGCCCTTATTCTTTCCATTTTCTTTTGATTTATAAGGAGTCTTTGTTAGTTTGATTTGTTATACGGATGAATTTAAATGTTACGTGTCGCGCGAAATTCATGAAATATGTTAAATATGTTTAATATGTATTATATATTAATTTATTAAAATTATTATATTGCTTATAATGTGCTCTATTGACATCATATTTCATGAATTTTGCGCGACACGTAACATTTAAATTTATACATACATTATATAGACATTTGACAAACCTCATACGATCATATTCATTCATTGCACATGAGAGGGATTCACATCCTGAACTTGATTGCGTATTCTTAAATTTATTGAAAAAAAAGTGTCGCAACCTCATTGCTTCTGTACGTGCTCATTGCATCATTATTAGATTATTTAATTACTTAAAAAAAATCAGCATTTACCGTTTATAATTATGAAATTTGGAACACAATACTGTGTACAACCGCAAATAGATTATTTATTCAATAAAAATATTACTTGAATTTTTAAATGAAACCTACATATTTCCTGAGTAGTGAAATTGAACTGAGAGATTATCTTACGCGTAAGTATTTCAGTGTAACGTTTTGCGGTGCTCCAATACTTTTCTATAATGGCAATTTCACCTTCGTCTCTTAGCTCATCATAAGTGTCTTGGAGAAGTTGTAATAAGTGTTTTACCTGTTAATGATTTTCTATGCTACTTGTTATGCGGAAGCTACTTGATATAGACCGATGTAATATACTCTCTAAATATCTTGGAGTAAAATCTCAAAGAGAGTTAAAATATTATCACTAAAAGAAAAAGAGTGAAAAATTTGCACTCTTGAATAAAAGTGGCAGATTTTCAGTCTTTTTTTTAGCGAAATTTACTCCAAAGGAAAGTAATCTCACTCCTTTTTTTTTTAAGTGAATTTCACTCCAAAAAAGTGAAAATCAGCCACTCTTATTCAAGAGTGCAAATTTTTCACTCTTTTTTAATAGTGGCAGTATCTTAACTCTTTTGGAGTGAGATTTCATTCCAAGAAATTTAGAGAGTATGACATGCGTTTATTTAAACAAGAAATATTTCTTATCGCTTACAACATCCATGTTAAAGGTGAACGAGAGGTATGGTATCAAGAAGAGATTAAAGAAGAATGTGACAGATAAAATTTCAATGGTTAATTGCAAATCATATTTTGAGGTCGCAAATGTTGTGAACTACGAGAAATGATTTTGTTGAATTATTCGTATAAAAAAAGTAACGCTGTATTTTGTCAACAAATAGAAAGATTTTAATTATTAATTGTTCTTCTTACGTACAATAGTTGAACAAAAAAGCATAAAATCTGCTATGACGTACGTCATAATTATTATATAACAAATATATATTACTTTATTGTATATTATAAATATATATATAATTATAAATAAATTTAAAAATATGCCAGAAGGGTTGCTATTAATAACAATGTGGTAACTTATTAATTAATTATTAATGATTTACTATTATTAATAAATAAGAACGTCTCTTATGAAAAACCTACTAAATAGCTAAATACTATACATTAATTTACCTGAAATACAATAAAACTTCCCAGAATTCCATAATGCAAAGTCAATTGCAGTCGAACAAATTTGGATTGTTCATAAGGCCACAAACCAGTAGCGAGCATGAGAATTCGATTGAGACTAAAGTACCGATCCTTCGCGCAAGTCATATCGAGCGTAGGAACACATATGACTGCGAGAAAGTCGGGAACATTCCATCCATCCCCTCTTTTTGACCGATTTGATTGAATGTTCTTTCTTTTAGCATAAATTTTACTGTTAAACTTAACGTTACTTTTACATTAAATATTAAAGAACATTATGAGGAAATTCAAACACTTGTAATTTTGCAATTTTTTTCTTAAAGAAGTCTACGATTAAGCGATCGGTGCGATGCATAAGGAAATTCAACAGGTGTCTTCTTCCCATAAAAATGAAGAAAAAAGGACACTCGTGAAAAAAATATCCACATAAAAGCCACGCAGGCATTCTGTTGTTTTCGCTGCCGTAACTTCATTTATTTACTTATATATATATGATAAAAGACCATATTACTGACAGTGTATACATTACTGTCAATCAACATTAAAATGCATTTTGAGGTTGAAAAAATATATTTTACATTGCTTTATTAATTTTTAATAGAATTTGTAATATATCTAATTATTATTACAATAGTTAACTGAAAATGAAAACCAATCCTTTAATTTCAAATAAAACTTAAAGTTCGTGAAACGCATTTTTCTGCTGAATTATGTCCATTTTTATTAATGAAGTGGATAATAAGTAGTTACAAAGATGAGCGATTGTAGAAAAATTTGATCAGTAAATCAAACGAAAACTCATTTTTCTGATGAAATAATGTTGAAATAAAAAGAAAAAAATTAAATATTGAATAAATTTATTAATTTGTATAATGTATTCATTAATGCCAGTAATATATTTACTTTTTTGTATTTTTCCTAATACTGTCAACAGTATTATAGTCATCAATCACGAAGTGAGCATAATACTGACGTCTCGTAGAAACAGATAATACAACCTCAATATATCAATATCGACGTGTGTGTCCTTATGTACCCAAGACTCAAGATTGTTCGAATCATCGAATATTTTCGAAGGTATTATTATTGTAACACACTATTATTCTAATACTAAATATGTTAGATATTATTCTAATACATCGGATATTGTGTTTTCAAATATTATTCTCAAAATATTATTCTCGGATATTATTCTCAAAATTAAAATCATTAAAAAAAAATTAAAAGTAGACTATCTACGTTATTACTTACTACTGTTATTACTTAAAAAATGTATTTTATGAAAAACGTAGTTTCCGAATGATTAATTTTATGTTACATTTATTAATATGAATTATATTATTTTAATATACATATTTTAATATATATACATATGTATATTATTTCAATAAAAGCATTTAAAAATATTTCAAAAGTTAAAATTATTTAATTACTTATTATCTAAAACACAAAGAGACTAAGTTTACAGGTACAATAATTTAATATGAAAAACTGTCAGTAATGCATTCATCTGGTTGCTAGTATTACGAACAATGAAATTTTAAGGTTATCAGTATTAGGTGCAACTAAGTTTGGTCTTTATTTTATTAAATAAAAAAAACAGTTAATTTTATTTAAACTCTTTTATTTTATTTGTAAAGTTCATAATTGAAATAATTAAAAAAAATATTTTTAATACTTAAATTATCATTAATTGTATAAATATACTAAATCAAATATGACTAAACTCTTATATAATATGGCAGTAATATGGTTTTTTACCCTATGTTTGATTTTTTATATATAGAGTTAGCCATTAATTTTAAACATATTGACATATTTTCTATTAAGTTCGTATTGCTGCAAATCATCATCAGATAATATCACAATAGAAATGATTTTGCTTTGTACCGTTTCGTAAATCTTCATATGCATCACATTTACGTCAGATATAATCAGAAAGTTTAAAAAATAGTTGATGCTAATATACATAAATTAAATTATATTAATGTTATGGCTGTAAGATTTTATATTAAAGTAAAATAATGTAATATTATTTAAATTTATATTTTACATATTTAAATAATGCAATGACATATATTATTTTCTTTGGAAACTTTTTGCAAAAACTTAACAAATCAATATTTTGGATTGAATCATTTTTATTTATTATGTTTTGCTTGACAACGAAACTTCTATCTAAACTACATGCACAAAAGTAAAGAATTTCTTAGTTTTTAAATAATAAATATAATAATATAATAGGTAATGTATATTATTATTACACTTTTAATTTTATATATATATATAATTTTATATTTATATATATATGCATACCGTGTTATTTGATTCAGTCTTTTTTATTGCGTTGAATATATAACAACAAAATAAGATACTGAAGCTTTCACTAGCTGCAATAGATATTGTTCAACACATTCATTGTACTGTCTCGAGTAAAATTCTGATACATGAAAGCCTATATTATTTTCTTACCATAGCGAAACATTCAAACGATCCGACAAACAGTCCTTTGAGATTTAAAGTGAAATTTTTGGTACCTCTTTGTAATAGAAAAAGTATCATTTTTTGAATGTATATGGGAGTCATATACCATTGAATGCTGTATCTGTAAAATAAAATAACGAATAAAAAAATCAAAAGTTTGGAAAAGCAAGAAATTTGTGCGATAATATTTAATTAATATTTAAAAACATACACTTTAATTATTCTACAGTTAAAGTGTTCGCTGTTATTTTCAATATACATTATTATACATTTATATACAAGCTACTTATGTGTGCAATATAATATATATATTCTACAATAAAATTCTCTTACGCAGTAATGAATACATAATTATTATGATCTATGATATTCTGTCCTGTATAGTTGGCTAGAAACATGTATAAAATACAAATTGTTATGAATATAAAAGGAAATGATAATTCTTTGACATTAGCTTGAGATGAACTAATCTGAAAAATCTAAAATATAATTATTATTAAGAGTTAAAGAAAATATGTAGAGAGAAGTCAATTTTCTCTGCATATTTTTTCGTTCTATCCGTTATTCTTTATATGATAAGTTATTCTTTTAAAAATTACGATTAATTTATATGAAAAATTTTACACATAGAATTAATTATAAATATTAATTGATCAAAAATATTAGTATAAAAGTACATTCTCTCTTACTATAGAACTAGATTGTGGGATATTAAATACTCCTCGAAAAATAGAGATTTTAGCGAAACTTACTCGGAAGAGGTTGATGCTCAGAGAAGTCACTGCAACTGCTATTAGACAGAGCAGCATTATCTCAAATTTAGATATCAACAGTTCGGACAATCTTTAAACACAAATAAATATTATTATATATGATTTATAGCTATAATTTTTACATACTAACTTCATAGCTTGTCGATGAATATCTACAGCACAAATTATTCCTTCGAATATGAATTTCTCGTTCTTTGTAGTAATATTTTTCAACATATTGATTTTCATTGCGCGTTCAATACGATAACTATAAATGATATCGAATAATATATTCTTTTTTGTTTTTAAAGAATAAACTTTTTTTAAACTTTTGAAATATAACAATTCTTTAAAATGGTGAACAGAATTTTATAATAATATAATTATTTTATTTATAATTTGAATTTTTTTATGACTATGTCTATATTCGTTTCATACCTGGAAATTTTAAACATTCCACATGTAAATTGAAGATACGCAAATAACATTGTTCCTATCCCTATTACTGCAAACAATCCTATGCAAAATGCTGCGTTTATATGTAACAGAATTAAAGAGAAATATCTTTCCTGATCGATAAAGTATTCCGTTGTGAATTGCATTCGACGTGCTTGAGATGCATTTATCGGCAAAACAACATTAGATGTAGTCAATAAAAATTCAGCGGCAATAGGAGTAAATACACTGCAAATGCCAAATACTAAAGAATGTTAGAAAGTAACTCATATAACTTTATGTTGTATAATATCTCAAAATATTACTTCACGCATATTTATTATATTTAAAATTTTATATTTTTTTGAACTCAATTATAATTGATTTTTACCACTTCTTGTTAATTGAAAATTTACAATTTTACTCTTTAGCCTTCGATTTAAATGTCTTTTGTCACAAATTATTATTTTCCTTTCAATATGTATAACAATACATACTTTAATAGAGCATGCGATGTATCGTACATATGTAATAATTTATCAAGATTAATTTGTCTTCTAATGAAGCCTTAGCTTTATTAACAAGAAGAGATATAACCAAATGCAAACATCCAAAAATATTGTCTTACTTGTAAGTGCAGTAGTATAACATTTCCCAATATAGCCATACTTTTCCATAATAGCGTTTTCATATTCATCTTGTAGTTTATTGTATACATTTTGAAGTTGCGCCAGTAAATGCTTTACCTGTCAGTCCAGTAACTTTTTATATCGTCTTTATGTATTTTTCCAAAAAGATCGTTGAATATGCAAATTTATCAGAAATGTTAATCAAATATCGTAAATCGTTAACTTACAATTTTCATCTTAAAACCAAACGAGATGTAATTTATTACAAATAAAAGAAAAGAAAGCGTAACAGACAGAATCCTGAGGACGAGATCCAAAGACCATTTTGAAGTAAAAAACGCAGTGAACTGCAAGTAATAATTTTATTGAAATGTTTGTATTAAAAAAATCTATTTTTCATACATATAATAACTTTTAAAGTATAGGTTTGTTCCTTTACATATAATAATTTTACGATGATAAAAGTAATTATAGTTACATATCTGGTGTTTTGCAACTATTATATAATATTTAAATAAAATAGATTTTAATTCAAATTGTAAAAGTCAAAATTAACATTTTCCAAATTAATTTAAATTAGCAAGTAGTATTTTTTAGCAGTTTTTTAACTCATTTCTATTATGCGTAGCGCGTATCTATCATTAAATATTGATTTTTACAGCTCTGCAAGTGTTATTGATTTCCTCTGTTCCGCTGACATATAATCTTGATTTCTTATATACCTACTACATATACGTACATACATATTGTATACATTTTAATAATTGCACGTTAACAAGTTCAATTTAATCGTTTCAAATTATTTAACCATTTATTTTAATTAAAATTTTCTTATGTAAATCTACTTATATATATATATATATATACAATATATATAAAATGAATTACTAGATCTAATGTTTGTTTTTATCGGAAGATTAAAATGTGCGAGTATTTATTTTTATAAAAGCAGAACTTAATGTAGGTTATTCGTTACTGTTATTTCTAAATTTTCACATATATGAAAATAAACTTTGTAATTTATAAATTATAAACATTGAATTAAATGTTCACATCTTCTTCACTTACTAAATCTTTTTTTTTGTTTATTAAAATTGCAAAGTTCTTAATTTTATGCTTGAATAGATGAATCTTTAATCAATAGTTTGATCGCTTGTAATAATATGTAATCAAACATTAATATATACAATGATATTTTTATATTAGGATTTTTTTATTGTAATTATTCTTTAAAATACTGTTATACAGCGTTGTTTTGGAACATCATAATTATGATGTAATTAATATACATATATATAATAATTATTTTTTAATATAAGTCACAATATTAAGTTATATAATAATAAAAGATAAAATATTACAAATTACAATATATTATATTATAGGTTATTTCAAAATAATAATATATAAAAAGTGAGATATTATCTTACTTGAAATAAAATAGCAGTTGTAAGAATACTCAAGAAGAAAATAAACCGAAATCGAACAAATCTTGTTTGTTGATAAGGCCACAAACCCACAGCAAGTAAAAGACTTTTATTAAGACTAAAATATTGCGTCTCGATACAGATCATTTCTCTATGACCTCCAAAATATGACTGAGATATCAAAGAGATATTCATTTCCTTCTTTTTGCATTTATCGATCAGATATTATATGGGTTCTCTCTTCTGATATAAATTTTAACGCAATTTTTTTAATGTCGTTTATATGCAAGATGATTACTATCATGGGATCGAAACACTCGTATTTTAATAATATTCTCATAAAATCTACTATTACACGATCGATTTAATATCAATAAAATTTAGCAGATGTTCTGTTTCGCATAAAAAAGAGAGTTACTTGAGAGAATTATTTTCACGAGAAAAATGCAAAAGTTGCGCAAGCGTACACAGCACTTAAAACTACATTCGTTATTCCCGTTCGTACTCTCGAACTTTATCTATAAGAAGAATGTCTCTTTAGCCTGTATTTCAGAAGTTGTTGAAGGTAATAACATTTTTTTTTCTTTTTCTATCGAAGAGTACAGAAATAACTTTATATGTTTTTTGTTTTTCATAATTTTATGAATAATATATCAAAAAATTCAAAAATTTGAAAGCGTTAACGCTGATAATAATTATTTACTTAAAAGTATATCTCAACAAATATATATATTTTTAACAGAGAGAATCAAATTAAAAAATAATACTAATTAAGAGAGAGAGAGAGAGAGAGAGAGAGAGAGAGAGAGAGAGAAAGAGAGAGAGAGAGAGAGAGAGAGAGAGAACCTTACCCAAGATGTACGACACGAAAGTTGCCCAGGCGGATTTACACGTCTTTTGTGCTCATAGAAAAATTGGAGAATAATGCAGCCAATGTGTGCGTGTGCATGTGTGCGTGTGCGTGCGTGCGTGTGTGCGTGCGTGCGTGTGTGTGTGTGTGTGTGTGTGTAGGCAAGATCGGACGATGATCCAGTAAATGAAGGCATCGTAGAATCTTGCTTTTATTGGTTGTATTATTCTCCAACCTTTCTCTGAACACAAAAGACATGTAAATTTGCTTGGGGAACCCCCCGCGTGATACACCTTGGGTAATGCTAATGCCGACGGTACTGTAACTTTCAAGCATCATAACTCAAAAAATACTTAATAAAAAAATATTTTCTTCTAGCGTTTTGGAAAGCTCTCAAAACCAGCTATTAGATTATGGAATCAAAAGTAGGGTGTTCTATTCTAAAAAATTGATGACCTTAACCTTGGCGATACCACCTAAGGATAAGATCAGTAAATAGATTTTTTTGAACCCTACAACTTTTGTCTGAAACACTTTTCTGTAAAACTTATATTTTCTGAGATATTCAGATGTCCCGATCTTTTTGGGACACCCTATATGTATATATATTATACGTTTACTTATAGAGTGAATACCACTTCAAATATATTCCAACATATATATAATGTACTATTTTTTTACCGTTGCAAAATATTCTAATGATCCAATGAACAATCCGACAAAGTAAAAGTTTTGGCACCTTTTTGTAACAAAAAGAGTATCTTTTGTATATGTAAAGGAGCTATATATCATTGAACGTTGTATCTATGATACATAAAAACGATAACCCGAAAATGAAAGTAATATACATAAACAATATTCAGTATGTTGTTGTTATTATATTTTGATTATTTTATTTTCAAAATAACATGCTTACATTTACTTTTAAGATACCTATATATTTAAACTTATATTATGTATTATATATATTATGTATTATATGTGAATACCATGTATATACATGTATGCGTATATACACACACACACACACACACACACACACGGAGTGTTTCATCTTTTACATAGAAATATTTCAAAAAATATGAAAGATAGAAGGTGTTTTAGAAAAAGCTGTATAATGTAAAGAGAGATAAATAATAGTAAAATCAATTTCCGAAAAAATTTATTTTTCAAAGTTACCATATATGAATGTCATGATCATTTTTTAAAATGAAATTGTATGATTTTTTAATATAATTCCATCGATTCTGCGTATATAAGTTTGCATATTAGTGCTAAAATAAAGATATTGAAAAGTCAATAGTTTACGAGATATTTTATACTTCATTCTGGCATATTTTGACGTAAAATATAACCAATGTCTTATAAACTAACAATTTTTTTATAAACGTATCTTAATATTTTCGTGCACAGAATAAAAAATTAGAGAAATTATATTTTTAAAGAATTTTGAATTATTCTACTAAATGTTAATCTTAGGTTGTGTAAGTAATGGAATATGCTAAGTTGTTTCAATATTTAAAAAATATTATTAATCTAAATATTACTAATGATAATTATAAAATAAAATTTATATGTAAAACTTTTTAATCCGAAGAAAAATTTCGAAAACAACACACCTTCTATAGCAATAAATTATTCATTTTTAAATATTATATCATGTAAATGTACAAATCTTTTTTAGAAATCTGAGACTTACTCGGAAAAGGTTGAAACTTAAACAGATTATTTTAACTACTATTAAGCAAAATATCATTATCTCAAATTTAGATACCATCAGTTTAGATAATCTTCAAGCACAAATAAATATTATTGTATTATTTATTTGTATACATATATTACACTATATATAGATACTAACTTCATAGCTTGTCGATGAATATCAATAGCATATATCATTCGTTTATATATCAAATTTTCGTTCTTTCATCTACTTTTAATAAGATACTTTTGAAATATTGCTTATATTAATATAAGATACATTTATTATTTAAATTGTAATCTTGTGTAATTAAAATTGCATGATTAATATTTCTAGTAAGAATTAAACAATGACTGACGTGTCAGCTCTTATTGTTTATCATCATATCACTGTTGACAATAATAATTTCTTATTTTCTAATTTTTTAGTGTATGCATCGTTTATTAATGAAAACTCTAAACTTAAATATTTATGTGTAAATATTAATATGAAATAATTAAAAGTAATATTCAATGTAATAATAATAAATTGTGCGTGGGAGTATTTTACTTTAAGTATAATGTAAAATATTTAAACATACACTGTTTATTATTTGGTCTAAAATTAGACAGACAATGCTCGGCACCATGTTAATTGCAAAAACTTAAAATAACTTCATTTGAACAATTTTAATCTTCTTTTTTAACAGGATGGTACTTACATTACACGTAAAAATAAGCTATCTATTTTCTAAGCATTGATATCGTCATTTTTTTATTAATTACATTCCCACTGATAATTATAAATTAATATTGGTTTCATTACCGCGTAGAATATATTACAGTAAAATAAGATACCGAGGCCTTCACTAGCTGCAAATATAAATATTCCCTCTTATCTCATTTACGTATATTATTAAAATATATAATTTTTTTACGTGTATATTATTAAAATATTTCTATATTATATTACCGTAGCAAAATGCTCAACGGATCCTTCAAATATTCCACCGACGTTTAAAACGAATTTCTTGGTGTCCCTTTGCAATAAGAATAATATTACTTTTTGTATATGTAATGGCATTCTATACCATTGAATATTGTACCTACGGAATTAAATATATGTAGATAACAGATCGTTAATTCAAGATAGGAATTTTTTATTAAATACATATAAATTTCAGCATACAGGGTGGATATCAAGTAAGAAATTTTGAGAGGTGATTCCTCACTCCAATTCAAGACGAAAACTTCATGATCATATGTCCGAAATGGTTTAGTTTCAAATATAAGAGTATCGAAGTTGAAGGAAAAATTTTTGTTTTTTCCAAAAATTTTACTAACCACTTGAGTTATTTTGATAAAACTTCGTGTATATGTTTAAAGATTTATCGAAATAATCCAAATGGTTTTCGAAATTTTTGGGAAAGTAAAATTTTTCCTTCAACTTAGACATATATCCTGTATTTTTGAAACTAAATTGTTTCGAATATATGTGTGGTCTTACAAAGTTTTCATCTTGAGTTTGTGTGAAGAATTACCCCGTAAAATTTTTTAGAATATACTTAGTATCTTTCCTTTAAACTATTATAATTAAAAATGCAGGAGATTCTATGTTTACTGTTGCATCTACTGAAAAGAGGATGTTTATACGTAGTTTTTTATAAAAATATTTCTCTTACGCAGTAAGAAACACATGATTATTGTGGTCTATTATATTTTGTCCCATATAATTGGCTAGAAACATATATAGAATGCTTACAGCCATATACATAATCAGTAGAAAAAATTCGTTGAAATTATTTTTAGATGATGCTATTTGAAAAACCTAATAAACGAAACTTCAACAGATTAACATAAATAATATGTACATGCAACGTTACTGTATTCTATAATAGAATACATTTTTGTATAATATTATTATTATTATTATTGTTTTTAGCATCTACAGATATGTAAATATAGTATTCGTCATTTTTATATCATTAATTGACTTTTATTGAAGATTTATAACTATGATATTTTAATTTATAGATTCTTATCACATGTATTTAGAATTATAACAATAATATATTTTTTATGTAATTCCTATACGGTATTACATGAAACTGGAAACTTACTTGATACAAATTGAGGCTAAAGCAAACAACTACTCCTACAGTGAAAGAAAGTATCATTATTTCGAATGTGGACACTAAATGCTTGGTCAACCTTCATAAACAATAAATATACTACTTAAAAATAATAAAAATATTATTAAAGCTCCTGCTTACTCATTGCAACCATCTTGAATTGTGATGTCAGAAGCGAAAAAAATATATAAAGGAAATTTTTGCAAAATAGGTATTAAAATGTGAGCACTTTTTAAAATAACATTTGCAATCATTAGATTAGATTATAAAATATACCGAAAACTTCCCTTGTGTTCGAATAAATAACTATATATTTAAAATTTAATTATGTCTAATTAAACAATAAGCTATATGACACCTGTCGATTTGAGATAAATATGATTTGATTATATTTCGAGATAAAAGGAGAATTTTCAGTATATTTTACAAGTATACTCTACCAAATGCATATATTGTTTTATTGAACAAAATTTCTGTTATATATTTTTTACGAGAATTTTTATTATATATTTTCTCGCTTTTGCGTCAATTTAAAGACCCATAGTGAGTGATCTAAAGCTGATTCTATATTAATCGCATCGCAGCGTTCCAAGAATTGCTATCCAATGAAAAAATATCGTCACTCTAATTGGATAGCAACACTTACAACACGCTTGCGACGCCTCGATACGACTTAATGTAGAATCAGCATTAATTGATTATACATATATTGCATAAATACTGTTAGTGTAAATACAAACTTCATAGCTTGACGATGAATGTCTACGGCACAAATTATATTCTCGATCATGAAAACCTTATTTTTTAACGTAATATTTACTGCATGTTTGATACGATAACTGTAAATATTGAATAGTAATTATATAACAACTCATTAAAAACACAATTTTTTAGTTAAAAACAAAAACTTTCAACAAAAATTTTTTTAATATACCGTATGTATAAAAATAACTAATATAATGATTGAACTGTTATAAAAAATGCTCATTCCTCTCATTCATCTATATTCCTACCTAGCAATTTTAAACATTCCACAGGTATGTTGAAGATATGAGATGAGCATTGTACCTGTTGCTACCATTATAGTCATTCCAACGCATAATACTCCGTACATATGTAATAGCATCCAACAGAAATACTTTTCTTGATCAACAAAGTATTCTGTCAGAATGAATAAATGATGTGGTTGAGACATGTTCATTGGTGTATTAACATCAGCTATAAACGACCAGATTTGAGTTATGATAATAATAAACAATCCACAAATTCCAGATACTAAAAAGAAGTAAAAAAAATTTGTTATTTAAATTCTTAGTATTTAAAAAAAATCATTATATATATTATATATACATATATGCATACCGTACGCGCAAATTATGAAATAATTTTTAATTTTTTTATGAAATCGAATTTTATTACAAAATTAATAGCTATTTTATTTTTATACATATCCTTCGCATTATGAAACATTTTTTAATGGAATAAGACTTTATTGTAAAATTGATAAGTATTTTTATGTTTTATTTGATTATTAAATATATATGAATTTATCGCAGATGCGCAAATATTATGACAAATGCTTTAATACATTCATATAATAAATCATATGTAAATGTTTTTATGAAAGTGTACAAAAAAAATTACTGATAAAACCTAAAATCATTTTCTATATCTACTTGACAGTTTAAATATTAAACTAAAAATATAATGACAAAATTAATAAATATTGTCTTACCCGAAAGCATAACTGTGTAACGTTTGGCAATGCAACTATATTTATATATAATAGCAATTTCGTTTTTATCCTTTAAATCATCGAGTATATATCGAAGCTCCATCAATAAATTCTTCACCTGTCATTTTATCAATTTTCTATACTGTCTTTGTATATATCAAAAATACTTTGTGCTATAAAAATTTCATACACAAGTCAATTCTATTTAACAGATACTTAGTAAGCTATCAACTTACAATTTCAATGTTAAGATGGAATGCGTTATATTTTATCATGCACAATATGAAAAAAGATACGGAAGACAGCACCTTTATTATAAGGTCTAAAGTACATTTTAATATTATTAATGGTGTCAACTGCAAAAAGTTAGTTTTACATAATTTCATATATAAATATGATTTAAAAAAATGCGATTTATTTCTCCAAAAAGGCATGTATTAATGTGCGTTACATACAAATAAATTCTTATCTATGGAATTGTTAACCAACAATATACATCTCTTTTGCGAGTACTTTGTAGTTTCTTATTTGATATAAAAATTAGATTGCATAATATGGATTGATATAAATAATTGAAATGAAAGATTTCACGCAGTAATTTATATTATATAATAATTTTATATTGTTTTTTACCTGAAATATAATACCTGCTGTCAAAATAATACAGAAGAAAATAAACTGAAATTGAGTAAATTTGGATTGTTGATAAGGCCATAAACCAACAGCAAGCAATAGAATTTTATTGAGATTATTACACTGAGTGTCTGGATGTATCATTTTTTCTTCGAGCGTCAAAATATTACTGTGAGGACTAAAGACATCGTGAAAAGCATGCTTTTTCCATTTTTTCATTATTTGACTAAATATTTCATTCTCATGTCTTCTGGTATAATTTTTAAATTTTATAATTTATAATGATTGATTGTATAAAAGTTTGCTGTGTGAGATCTAATGGCGTTGAATTTAACTACTCTCTCAGGAAATTACGAATATTTATGTTATTGATTTAACACTACCGGTAATTCGACAGATGTTATTTTCTCATGAAAATACGTTATTTTCCACGCAAGCGCATTTTCTCTCTCCTAGCTCCGGAACTTCATTTTAGTTTACGCACTCACAGAATACACTTCGAGAGAATGTTCCTTTACTTTAATTTTTTCGATACCGTGAGTTATCTGATAAAGTTCATAATTTGAAAATGTTAGCATTATATTAATATGTAACATTATTAAATTTTAAAATTGCGTTTGATCGATGCAATTAATGTTTTCAGCAAATAAATGTTGAATGCTGATTTGTAAGTTTGTTGTCTATAATTAAACTATTCATTATAATGATAATATTCTGTTATTTCTTAAATTTTTTAATTCTATTACTAATAGCACACAAAAAATCTTATTTACAAATATAAAATATATAAACATGAGCTATTTATATAATACATTTTAACTTGCGATTATGCAAGTACTGATTTCAATAGATTTTAATAACTTGAAGTATTATACCAATATCTTAATTTGAACTAAAAATATTCAAATCAAGACTAAAAAAATAAGATTATTCTTCTTTTAGTAGGAAAATATCTATGTATTATATATTTTTAAAAATATTGCTAAGAATTGAAAAGAATTAAATTTGAATCAAAGAAACGATTATTTTAATATCATCATTTTTTCATTTATTACATTTCCATTAATAATCATGAATTAATATTGATTTGGTTACCGCGTAGAATATATTACAGTAAAATAAGATACTGAGGCCTTTACTAGCTGCAAATGAAAACATTTTCTTTTATCTTGTCTATATATGTATGTTATTTAAATATATAATTTTGTTATGTATATATGCTATTAAAATAATTTTACTCATATTACCGAGGCAAAGTGCTCTACGGATCCTTCAATTATTCCACCTATGTTTAAAGTAAACTTTTTGGTGTCCCTTTGCAATAAGAATAATATTATTTTTTGTACATGTAATGGTGTTCTATACCATTGAACGTTGTACCTACGGAATTGAATATATGCATGTAGATAATAGATCACTAACTCAAGATAGGAATTGTTTATTAAGTATTAATTTCGGCATATAGAATGGATATTAAGTATTGTAAGAAATTTTGGGAGGTGATTCCTCACACAAATTTAAGACGAAAACTTCATACGATCATATGTCCGATAAGGTTTACGGACATATATGGACGGCTTAAGGGAAGTTTCACAACTGTCCGGAATCAAACCGATTTGATTCTCTATGAAATATGTTGTTAAACACAAAAATCTAAGAGACACGTATATTTTTATACGTGCCCTAACTCATGTTTAAGGGGTGAAACACCTCTTAAAAAAAACGGTATTTTTTTTCGAGGCGAATATTGTCGGAAGTATAAAAGATAATTTATAAAAAAAAGATAACTTATAAAAGAAACTTTCTTTGTTAGTTTCAATGATACAGAATATCAAATTTGAAGGAAAAATTTTGATAACCACTCGGGTTGTTTTGATAAAACTTTGTGTATATATATGTTTAAAGATTCATCAAAATAGTCCAAATGGTTTTCGAAATTTTTGGAAAAGTAAAATTTTTCCTTTGATTTGGACATATACCCTGTATTTTTAAATCTAAGCTGTTTCGGATACATGGTCATACAAAGTTTTCGTCTTGAATTTGTTTGAGGAATTATCTGATAAAATCTTTTAGAATACTTAGTATCTTTCCTGTAAACTATTATAATTTGAAATGCAGGAGATTCTACGTTTACTGTTGCATTCACTGAAAAGAGAATGTTTATTCGTAATTTCTTATAAAAATATTTTTCTTACGCTGTAAGAAACACATGATTATTATGGTCCATTATAATCTGTCCCATATAATTGGCTAGAAACATATATATAATGCTTACAGACATGTACATAATCAGTAGAAAAAATTCGTTGAGATTACTTGTAGATGATGCTATCTGAAAAAGCTAATAAACGTATTTCATGGAAATTACTGATGATCTTGTACGTATAGTATACGTTGTAACTACCCGGTAAAAAATTTATCATGCATGAATATGTATAGTTATGTATAAATATGTAAAAGATTAAGAATATGTAAAAGAAAATAGGTGTTTCCATTTAAGATTTCAAAGTTGACCTTCACGGTGTCCTTCAAGGTCACATGAAGGTCATTTCAATATAATCGTATAATAGACCACTTGATATACTAAAACTTTTGTATTGAACATTTTTTTCCATAATCATTATTTTTCAAGATATTTGAC